AGCTACAGATGGTTTACATACACCATATATATTTCTTTGCATGAGAGTCAGACCCTGGGCCTAAGTGCGGCCTTGGTAGGCCCATCATGATAAATGCAGCCCACAAATCCGCTTTCTCCGTTGATGGCCCTCGGACCTTTTCCCATCCCGCATAACTTCATACCATCATCCGTCTGTCATTTATTGAATGAGAGGGGAATCACTGCCCCAAGAAGAAGATGTTTCAACTTCGATGCATGCTCACGGGAAGTCGAGTGTTTACAAGCTCATATTATTTAATCAATAAAACCACTGCTTCTGTCCACAACACTGTAGCTTCTCTTCCAGCTTTTAGCCTGCTGTGAGTTCACTTTGGAGGATAAGAATTATTTGGAAATATCAAGAGAAGACAAAATATTTAATCCATAATTTGAAGCGTACCTCACCAGATCGAAATAGGTTCGAGCGCAAAAATATAGCCGCATCGAGCAAAAGATGAAGCTACTGCACATGTTATCAGATACACCAATGATGACACTGGGATATCTTCAGCGTTTCTCTCTGCTTTTCTCTTCTGTGGATACTTTCTGTTTTATCCTGTTACACAAACTTTTGTTAACCTGAGAACTTAACGTTATAGTACCCTTTCACTCAAATAGGTTGTTCACTAAATGGTATATTAATACAATTGTAATCATGGAAAACTTGTCTGGCCCCCGCACACAACACACCAGACTAATCCTATGTGGCCGCGCAGGGGGGGGCAAAATAATTACCCACCACCTGCGACTAGGAGGTACGACACGTTTTATACTGCTTTTGTGTTATACTTAGTTTTTTCTATGCTAAAGAAAGAGAAAAGTGTGAGAAGTGTGCTTATACTTGATATTCCACTTCTGTTCTAAAGTCATCCTTAATCTTTTAATGTATCCAAGTAATTATCGAATCAGTGAGATAGTTAATTATGTTTACCACTCTGTGAAGTTACTACTGTTTACAGACACCAGGCACGTAAAGTGAGACTAAGGCCCATGGGTTATTCCATAACTACTCAATTACTGCGTTCCTGTTGTCATATCTAAACTCATGCATTTCATCCCACAATGTTCCGCACTGCCTCTCGCAAGAAAAGTGCTATGCGTATCTCCAGAGGTCAACGTACTCCTGGCTTGAGCAGACTCTCCCCTCAATTTTTCTCAATTGTTTTTATTTTGTTCCTTGCACTTCTGCGCAGTCATGTTGATCACACACGACGTTCTGGTGAAGATTTTTCTGAGTTTGGCCCTTACAAGAGAGCCTCAGCGACAAAAAGTACAAAAATGTCATTCGCTTGGCACTGTGGCTTGGATGGCTTCCAGGAAGTAAGTAAGGAACGAGCTCATTCGGTTCAGAGAAAGTGGGACATTTGGATGAGTTCATAATGATGTCAGAGCATGTTTTTATGAACTGTGGTATCGGTGGGGTTTGTATTGCCGTGCTGCAAGTTCTGTGGGGCTTGCCTTTGTGCTCGCAGGGTCCGTTTTTTGGTGTAGAGTAGTTCTGTGGGAGATGTTGATCCGCGGAAGACTGAGAAGTACCATATAATGACGTAGATCCTCGGGCCATCAGTCTGGGGCGTGTGGGCGAGAACAATACAGTTCTGCAGCTGGCGGGTCCCCGAGAGCTGCCACAGACGGATTCAAGATCGCTGCTCAGTACAGTGCTGGAGTTGAATATGATTATGATACTGTATCTAAACCCTAACCCTGCATGAAAAGACACTGAGTGACAGTCAACATCCTTCTCATAAGGCTAAACGGAGGCGCTTTTTTGAAGTGTGGTTTGTGGGGATCCGGGTTCCACCTCTCGTGTGGGGTATTGCATGGTCTGCTACTGTGTTCTGCATAGGTTTTACCCATAGACTGTATGATTAATTAACGGACTCGAGTCAGCGCTATCTCCCGCCGTGTCTAACTGAATAGGCCCAACTAAATGTGCTCTACTTGGGCTATCCAAAAATGGGCCTGCGAGTGGTCTCCGCCGCACAAGAATATTTGTGAAAAACACGGTCATCTGCGGCATGTGTTCAGTTCGCGCAGCTTAGCTCCATTCATTTGAATAAGAGTAGACTTCAAAATTTCACAGGCAACGTTAGAACTAGATGGTGACCCATAAAAATTCTACCCCCCTCAACACTTGACAGACACATGTGGAGGGAACTTTTAGGTTCGCCTCGCGTGTAAAGGACGTTTTTGAGTGAGGAGCTGCTGCCAATGCTATAATGTTAGCATTGGCCTATTTCTCTTCTGGGGGGTCGCACCTCCCTTCGTCCTCCCCATCTATTGCAAGCATGTCAGAGCGCATCGTCATGTTTGGGCCACTTTTTGAGCTGGGAACCACCCCGCCCCCACTGGTTTTACCCTGGGGTGTGGTGTGATGTGCTGAGTGTGCCTGTCACAGTGGGACTACAGGTGGGGAGTCTTTGCAGACATAACTGTTAGGTGTACTGTCCCCATTCCCAAATAAAATTAAACAACACCTAAGTGTAATTCACAAACTGCTGTAAATGATTCAGCGTGTGCAGTTCTGACTTGAGGGGCTTCTGGTGCTGTTACTGGGTGTTGCGTGCTCTGGGGTGCGTTGCTGCTACGGGATTGCCTGCTACACTATAGTCCATCACCATCATTGTCTAACCCTTTAGAATCCATTTCTGGCGTCAGTAGAGGGTTCAGGTCAGCCGGCAAGTCAGAGATGCCACCGCGAAGTCTCAATTAGCACCAGCGCCCCTCACTGATCCCTCTTGCCAGGGTGGTGAGAGCTCCAGGAGAGGACTGGGGTCTGCTCTCTGAGTGCGTCGTGCGCATAGCCTTGAATCTTTCAGTGGGGGACTTTTGGGCAAAGTGGGGTTAAGTGTCTTGCCCAAGGACGTAATGAGTGGGCATTTGTACCTTACGGACGCCTTCAGGCGCTTAAGGCCAATGCTCTATCAAACTGAGCTTACTGGTCGCCCAGACAACACGGGCTTTGTTGCCGGAAATAAATAAACATCAACTCAACTCAACTCAAGACTGCATCCATCATCAGCAGGAGGTCTGGGTTATTCTTTCAGAGTCTGCCGATTGTATTTCTTTATACCCAAGACATGATATATGTATCAACGAGATACAGGGGACTTTCAATTCAATACAGTATTTTCTTAACGATACGATGCATTCAGTAAAAAAGGCCATTCCATTTATTTACATGAAAATATAGATTGATAGATTTTGGTTTAAGGTTGGTTTGGGGCGCACTTCCTGTTTCGTCATAAGGAATAACATCCATAGGTTTTATACATAGATCTCACACAGTGTGTTACTGGCTGCAAGGAGTCCTTTTCTTCAAGGGACAGTGCGACTGTCACAACTCCCATCTGGGGCGATTAATGCAAAATGTTCGGAGAGAGAGAGAGAGAGAGAGGAGAGAGACTGAGAGAGAGTGAGAGAGGAGAGAGAGAGGATGAGAGAGAGAGAGACGAGAGATGAGAGAGAGAGAGAGGAGAGAGAGAGTTGTTTGAGGCGAGAGGATGAAGAGAGAAGAGAGAGAGAGAGAGAGAGAGGAGAGAGAGAGAGGAGAGAGGAGAGAGACAGAGAGGAGACGAGAGAGAGGAGAGATGATTGAAGAGCGATGGTTTGGCGCTGATGAGAGAGAGAAATGAGAGAGAGAGAGAGAGAGAGAAGAGAGAGATGAGAGAGGAGAGATGAGGAGAGAGGAGGAGAGGAGACGAGAGGAGAGAGGAGTAGAGAGAGAGAAAAGAGAGAGGAGAGAGAGGAGAGAGAGAGAGAGAGAGAGAGAGAGAGAGGGGATAAGAGGAGAGAGAGAGAGAGAGATGAGAGAGTGAGAGCTCGGAGAGAGGAGAGAGGAGAGGAGAAGACGAGAGGGAGAGGAGAGAGAGAGAGAATGAGAGGGAGAGAGGAGACGAGAGAGAGAGAGAGAGAGAGTGAGAGAGATGAGAGCGAGATTGAGAGGAGAGGAGGTAGAGGGAGAGAGAGAGAGAGTGAGGAGAGAGAGGAGGAGAGAGAGAGAGGGATGTCTGAGAGGTGAGAGGAGAGAGTGAGGGAGATGGAGAGGAGAGAGGGAGAGGGGAGAGGAGTGAGAAGAGAGGAGAGAGGAGAGGAGAGAGGAGTGACGAGGGAGAGAGAGGAGGGAGAGAGAGGAGAGAGGAGGAGAGAGGAGAGAGGGAGAGAGAGGAGAGAGAGGGAGGTGAGAGAGAGAGCATGAGAGGATCGAGAGAGAGGAGGGAGAGGAGAGAGAGGAGAGGGGGATAAGAGAGAGAGAGAGAGGAGAGAGAGGAGAGAGAGAGAGGAGAGAGAGATGAGATGGGAGAGGAGAGAGTGAGAGAGGAGAGAGCTGAGTGAGAGAGTTGGCCGAGAGGAGAGAGTTCGGAGAGAGGAGAGAGAGAGAGAGCGGGAGGGAGAGAGAGATTAGCACTTTCAAAGAGATGGGATAGAGAGAGAGAGAGAGAGAGAGAGAGAGAGAGACGAGAGATGAGAGGAGGATCGAGAGGAGAGGGAGATGAGAGAGAGAGAGCGGGAGAGAGAGAGAAATGAGAGAGAGAGAGGAGAGAGAGGGAGAGAGAGAGCGAGAGATGGAGAGAGAGGAGAGGAGGAGAGGGAGAGAGAGAGAGAGAGGAGAGAGAGTGAGAGAGAGAGAGAGATGAGGAGAGAGTGAGAGATGAGAGAGAGAGAGACGAGAGAGAGAGATGGAGAGAGAGAGAGAGAGGAGAGAGAGAGAGTGAAGAGAGAGAGAGAGAGAGGAGAGAGAGAGAGAGAGAGAGAGAGAGAGGAGGAGGTGAGAGAGAGAGAGAGAGGAGAGAGGAGAGAGGAGAGAGAGGAGAGAGGAGAGAGGAGAGAGAGGAGAGAGAGAGAGAGAGAGAGAGAGAGAGAGAGAGAGAGAGAGTGCCTCAAACAAGATTTGCCAATCTACATATTTACAATATTAAATCTCACTTAAATGATGAGATCAAAGTGACTTCATTTCCCTATTTGTATATTTTTCGATAGGAACTGTAAGCCCAGGAACAGGCCATCTTTCCGTCAGATCCTTCTCCACTTGGACATAGCATCTGCAGATGTTTTGTCCACACCTCAAGAGACCTACTTCAAGTCTCAAGTATGTAACATGTTTATACATCTAAATCACCATTATTTTTACCTTGTCAATAATGTATATTCATAACTTAATTGCCATGGACTGTACTACAATGTGGTACAAACACAATACCTTGTTTTGATGCTCAAGTATAAAGGGATGTTGTGGTTTGCAAGCTGTCTGTTGGTGGCTGAATAGATGCTACACAGAAGGTCATGCTAACAAAAGCCTGCTCTGGACAGGCTGAATGGAGAGAAGAAGTGAAGCAGCACTTTGAGAAAATTAAATCCGAGGGCACTTGTCTACACCGACTGGACGAGGAGCTGATCAACCGCCGTCGAGAGGAGCTCAGGTCTGACATAAAGAGGCCCTTCATGTATGATAGGAGCACATTTAAATATCTGTCTCTAACCTTAGACATGCGCTGGATATCCGTGAGCACTACGAGAGGAAACTGGAGAGGGCCAACAACTTGTACATGGAGCTGAGTGCAGTTATGCTACAGCTGGAGCTAAAGGAGAAGGAGCTGCAAAGGTAATGTTTGCTCTACAGGAACACTGAGGCTGGGGAACAGGAGAGTAGTGTGTTTTAAGGGTGTCATGAACCCCTTCTGAGGCTGGTTTGCCTACTCACTCTTCTTGCTACTGCGTAAAGTAAAGGATTTGATAACAAGTTAACATATGGGTGTTTTGCAGAAGAGAACAATCTTTGGACAAGAAGTATCCTGGTTTGTTTAAGCATCATAGCAGCAGACAGAGCTCCACTAACTCCATGGACAAACTCATCAAGAAGAGGAATGTTCCACAGAAACTTCCGTCAGGAAAGAGGTGCGTCATTCATGGGGAGAAGCAACATTTGGGTTTATGAGGTGATCATTATTATATGTCTGTGTCCTTGGTTTTTAGGCCTGACATTCTGAAGTCAGAGGTGATCATTCCTAAGATGGATTCCTCTGTGATGCAAGTGACAATCCCCACCTGTAAGGACAGAACCTCCCCGAACCGCTCTCGGAGGGTAAAGACTCGGCACCGCAAACCCGGTAAGGGCAGCAGTGGGGACCTGGCTGGATTGAAGGCCAGTCAGTCTTCCCCCCATCGGGACGCCTCCCCCCAGGCCGACCCCTCCGGCACTCCGCCTCCACAGCAGCTCCTGGATCCGTCGGCCGCTCTGAGAGTCCATGAGCCGCAGCAGAGGCTGTTGTCCTCCTCCAGCCCTGACCTGATCAGCTCCACACTGGAGGCCGATGCACAGGGCCCAAGGGAGGGCTCAGGGGGGGCTCTGGAGCGCGGGGGCAGTCTGAGTGCTTCTGCAGGGCTGGGGGGCTCAGCTCTGGACGACCTGACAGAAACACCTCCACGCAGTGACACGCCCAGTGAGGACCCCTCCTTCCCCTTCTCCAGCAGCCCCGACTCCCCATGTGGGAGGGGGGCCGGAGGGGGCCGCGGGTCTCTGGGGTCTCCACGACTACCTCACGACGGAGAGGACAAGGACGAGGGGGCGGGCTCTGTGCGTATCCCCCGAGGAGCTTCAGGGGGCGTCGGCACGCAGCACCTGACACCCTCAGCCATCCTGTACCGCGCTGCCATCTCCCGCAAACAGGTGAGAGCACAACCACAGTTAGAGCTGTGTTAGAGCTGTGTCAGAGCTGTGTTAGAGCTGTGTTAGAGCTGTGTTAGAGCTGCGAGCTGTGTTAGAGCTGCGTTAGAGCTGTGTTAGAGCTGTGTTAGAGCTCAGAGCACTGACTGCTCGTTCCCACAGAGACGTGGAGTGTCGTCAGAGGAGGAGGAGGGGGAAGTGGACAGTGAGGTGGAGTTGCCACGGAGACGGTGAGTTAATGTCCTTTTCTCGCTGCATGATTCTTTCATTGTATCTACTACACATCTACTATACATCTATCTACTGTACATCTACTGTACATCTATCTACTGTACATCTACTGTACATCTATTGTACATCTATCTACTGTACATCTACTGTACATCTATCTACTGTACATCTATCTACTGTGCATCTACTGTACATCTATCTACTGTGCATCTACTGTACATCTATCTACTGTACATCTATCTACTGTATATCTATCTACTGTACATCTATCTACTGTGCATCTACTGTACATCTATCTACTATACATCTACTGTACATCTATCTACTGTGTATCTACTGTACATCTATCTACTGTGTATCTACTGTACATCTATCTACTGTGTATCTACTGTACATCTATCTACTGTGTATCTACTGTACATCTATCTACTGTACATCTATCTACTGTACATCTACTGTACATCTATCTACTGTACATCTACTGTACATCTATAAACTGTGTATCTACTGTACATCTACTGTACATCTATCTACTGTGTATCTACTGTACATCTATCTACTGTACATGTATCTACTGTGCATCTACTGTACATCTATCTACTGTACTTCTATCTACTGTACATCTATCTACTGTTCATCTACTGTACATCTATCTACTGTTCATCTACTGTACATCTATCTACTGTGTATCTACTGTACATGTATCTACTGTACATCTACTGTACATCTACTGTACATCTATCTACTGTACATCTATCCAGTGCTACACAAATGCACCTGCCAACCAAATTGCATGAGCTCATAATGATGTGTACAGTTTTATTCTGTCTAAGAGTAATTCCGCCTTGTGCCATGTGACTGAACACTTTCTGCATTTTTCTGCAGTTGAGAACTTTTAACTCTCAATGGACCCACCAAATAATTAGTCATATCTCAATCTTATAAATTATCTACATTCAAACTCCACGTCAACGAGCTGATTTCTAATACGGATTCTCTTTTTATCAACGTGAACAAAATGTGAGTGAATCTCTGTACAGTTCTAAAGAATGCAGTTGTTTGTACATCTGACCCTGTGCTACAATATAACATAAGCATAATTACACAATACAACTGACAATGTCCCAACGATTTCAGTCGCCACCACTGTACCGTTGGAAAAATGTGTTGAGTCCAAGCAGAGGGACGTTCAAAAATGCTCTGCTTATTTTTTCCAAAATTCCAATCCCTTTGAAGCTGGGGTCCTGCAACTTTCAAACTTTACCATATATCATAACAACTTCCTTCTTTTTTCACTGCACCGTATCTTTGGCCTCTGTCACATCAGCTTTTTCAGACAGAAAATGAGAGGACCTCTAAGGTCTCAGCCCAAACCATCCAATAGGGACTCTTGGGGGTCATCATGAATGTTCTCTATTTATGATGATTTGTTCTCAACAATCATCATAAGTAGAGATTATCTCTCAAAATGGATGGGTACCTGAGCTTTAATAACTATCTCCAAAAAGCATAGCATGTCTCCTTTAGAGTGAAAGTCCATAGGTGTCTGAAACCTTTTCCCACAGACTTTTGGAATAAAAATGACAGTGAGATACTTCATTAGGAAGTTGTAAGAAAGTCTATAAAATGATGCACAAACAAATAAATAAGATACTATAGTCATGACTGGTTGAAATCATGGAAAATCATGCCTAGAAAAATAATTTGCCAAAGTTTAATATATTGTTATAGTTGAAATTTGCGACTGAGCTTAAAATATTACTGAAGCTGTTTGTGCCACTGAGAACTGTTTAAGACAGTAAGGTTTAAGTTTAAACAAAACAATTGGAGAGCTACTTAGAAAGAGGTGAGCTACCAGTAGCTCCTGAGCTATGTGTTGGAGACACCTGTACATGGAGCAGTGCTATGGTAATCTTTGACTTGCATAGTGTACTGTGTGGTACAAAATACAAAAATGTATTTGCCATTTGCAGTAAAACCACATTGGAAAAACTGTACAAGATTACCCCACAGACGGCACAGAGAGCTCTGCCACCAGAACAGTGCCATACAAATAAACATGCCTACTCCATACTCCTTGAAGCATGACTTAACTACACATTTCTTCCTCTCCACACAGACGTCCCACTAGTATCACCAAGTGCCAGTCTGTGTCCACGTTCAGCTCAGAGAACCTGTCGGTGTCGGACGGGGAGGAGGGCCACACCACTGACCACTCCCACAGCGGCACGCCAGACGTGGTCAGCACCAACACGGACGACAGACTGGACGACCGCAGTGACGACCTCCTCTCTCAGGGCTCCGAGATCCCAGCCGACAACACGGACGGCCTGTCAGAGCGGGAGGGCGCCGTGGGACAGGCCAAAGCCGCGCTGGACCTGGGGCAGAATTCAAATGAGGTGAGTGTTTGGCGGGTCACTCAGGCTGAACTGACACGGCGAATGCACACACAAAATATTCAAGGTTAGAACTGTTGACCAAAATCCAGAAAGAGGCAAAGAGACGGCTGAAATTCAGGGAGTTTAAACTTCTTATCATGAAGAGACAAAGTGGTGCCATCCCAGCTGCTGAGATGCAGGGTGATTGTTTTATGTTTTGTTTATTACGCTATAAACAAAGCTATTCAATTCAATTCACTTTATTTACAAAACATTCATATCAGTCCATACACTTTACTAATTCCTATGATTTGCAATTGCTTTGTAAAATGGAAGCTGCATTAGCTTACAAGCCCGGCCTCAAAACAGACAAGAGAAAATGTTCAATTCAATAGCGAACTATCTAAATGACGTCACTAAGACACGCCCCCGCCGCCTGTCAACTCCCGCCCACATGTTTCGGACAAACACTGCCGAAATGAATCAAATACCTCTTGTCACTTTAGACGAAAATGATAAACCAGGGGCAAAATTCCACCATCAAACCATCAGGGATCATAGTGTAGACCAATTAAAACGTTGGCTTGAATGTCGTGGTCTTCCAGTAACTGGTAGAAAGTTTGATTTGATAAAAAGATAATGGTGAGGATTATGCTAACATTATCTAGTCATTTAAATTGCAATGTTAGCGCCTTCTTTGTTTATTTTGCTGTAATTAACTTCCATTTATCAAGTTGTTTTTGCACTATCCACTTTGTAATTAGTTTGATCATTAGTTAGCTACAGTCAGCTGATATTATAATAAATCCATGATCACAACGGGCTACACCACTACTGTCTCTGAGAGAAACTATCGGAGCTAGCCACACTCAGTAAACGCAAATGACAATCAATCAACACATTTAAATGTTAATGGGAGAATACATTATACACATTCATAACACAAGTGCACGGAGGTTTTCAGAATTAACTGTTCAGGTTTTCATGACAAAAATACTTTTTTAATGCGACTAAAGCGATCGCTTTTGGGTTAACTATCCTCACTGTTACTCGCCTGCCACGGGAAAACCTTTGGGAACTATTTTCTTTGCACTCATTAAATAAACCTTTCGGCATGAGTAGTGAATGACGTTTATTTTGTGTGTTCAATTGGTACAAAGCCGTATAATAAGCAGACACAAAGTTGAAAAAAATCCCTCTCATCTTTCTTCAGGTGTGAGAATTGTATACTTTCTGGATTAGGACAAACAATACTAATATGGATTGATGGGGGTAAATGGTGTAAAGAGAGAGTTTGTGCTAACTACATTCAGAAGAGCTCAGACGGACCTGATACAGCGGTCCAGGTCCAGTCCCAGCTAAACGTAGCTAGGACTGGATCTGAATGCTCCACAGTTGGTCCAGCGAAGTGTTTTGAAAAAACATGTCCTTTTTAACCTTTTCATGAGAGAAATTCTGCCGACCACAAGCACCCACCTGGTCCTGGTCTGGTCCTGGTCTGGTCCGATGTTGTGGTTTAACGAACGGGTTGAATGTTACTTTCATATAGTCATTTTCAGAGTATCTGAAATCGCTCCCACAAGCACCATAACTGCAGTGTTTTGTTGTCACCATGATTCAATGATTTAGCCCAAATAAATACACACGCTTATGTGGAGAACACAGTAGAACTCAACGAGTCGTACACAATGTTTGTCCGAAACATGCGCGCATGCGCAGTCATCTGAGCTATTTTTAGCACATTTCGGAAACCGGACAGTGCCCTATTATTTTTGTGTAGCTCTAAATCAAAACAGTAGTCATCTCGAGGGACTTTGCCAGAAAACAGATCAGAGAATCCAAACAGTTGAAACTGAGGAAATACAATGAAAAGAACACATAAAGGCCATTGGTCCCTAGGGAGTGGGATGACCAATGTCCATAAATGTTAATACATGTTCATAAATGTTCTTAAATGTCCTGAATTATCACCACTGTCCTTGGACCACTGAGAGTCTCCTGCATCATAAACCCAGTTTGAAAAAGTACACCTTATACAATAGATCCTAAACCCTTTTCTAACTATATACCACTTCACACATTCTTACAGTTTCAGTTGGCACTCTTCATTTTGTTTGTAAGTAAGTAAGCCTTATTTATATACCGCTTTTCACAGACCAGAGTCACAAAGCGGTTTACAAATTGTTATTTTTGGGCACTCCAAACAGAAATGGGAGCAGGGTCACCGAACAAGAGGCGCATGCCAGATCTATTGTACATATTTTTAGTGGTAGGGAAAACCGGAGTACCCGGAGGAAACCTACGCAGACACAGGGAGAACATGCAAACTCCACTCAGGTCCGGCCGGGATTCGAACCCAGGACCTTCTTGCTGAGAGGCGAGAGTGCTATCCACTCAGCCACCGTGCCGCACAGTTTGTGATTTACTGGCACTTTTCTAGACCTCAGACAATAAAGATATTGTATTTTAAGCACTACTTTAGCTTGAAGACGGGGCTCATAATGGCTCCTCAAGAAACCCCTCAATCATCATGCATTGCTTGAATCACATTAATTGCATTGCCATTTCTAATAACAGATTAGATTTATTGATATTTTTAGGTGTTATTTCCAAGTGTACTAACTAGGGGGTGTGGTATTATAGCGAACTCCCCTCAAAATACTAACCAGGCTCTGGTACCTACCCAATGTTTAATGAATTTTTCAGGGATGAAGTGAGTAACCAGGCTCAAGTGATATTGTTGTCTTTTGTTCACAAAATGTTACTTCAACAAGATGGTTCCTGTTGGGATGTACAAAATGTTTTCATGGAAAAAACAAAAGTGAGGTACTCCAGCTTTAGGGAACATTTTAGGGAAAGAAGTAAACAATGCTGAGACAAGCAGTTGGTTTGGATACAATAATGTTATCAGCAGCAGCAGCAGAAAATATTGCTTGTGTCCTGCTTGTCCTACAAAGATAATGTAAAGATCCATTTGAATATATGCTAATGAAAAGTTATGTATTATAGTGTTATGTATTCCCCCATGAGGCTGGATTCTGTAGTGTCTGCTATTATAACTTCTATATACAGCATGTATTTTCAAAATGTGTTGGGAACATTTGGGTCAAAATGGTAGAAGCAGCTGACCAGTCATGAGGCAGACATGTGAGCAGCACTAATGTTAGGACAATGTACATGGCTGTCCTTAATGTATGGTTTGCTTTTACTGCATCTTGTGACTGTGTCTTATGACTTCTTCAACAATCTATAAGATGCTAGTCCGTGGTGTGTTAGGGGTCAGTCATGCCATCATCATTCTCGGAGCTGACCCAGGCTGAAAGCTAAGCCTGAATTAGACTTGATGTATTCTGATTATGTCATTAAACTCTTTCTTTAATACATAACTCAGAGTGCATTCCTTCTCCAACAACTATACTGGTTTGTGTGGGAAACCCCATCTTCTGCTGATGAGAAGATACAACATTTTGGCGTCACGTAACAGGATTTTTTTTTCAATTCTTAGTATGTTCAATGACGCAACATTTTGTTGTATCTTCTCCTCAGCAGAAGATGGGGTTTCCGCACAAACCAGTATAGTGTTGGAGAAGGAATGCACTCTGAGTTATGTATTAAAGAAAGAGTTTAATGACATAATCAGAATACATCAAGTCTAATTCAGGCTTAGCTTTCAGCCTGGGTCAGCTCCGAGAATGAGGATGGCATGACTGACCCCTAACACACCACGGACTAGCATCTTATAGATTGTTGAAGAAGTCATAAGACACAGTCACAAGATGCAGTAAAAGCAAACCATACATTAAGGACAGCCATGTACATTGTCCTAACATTAGTGCTGCTCACATGTCTGCCTCATGACTGGTCAGCTGCTTCTACCATTTTGACCCAAATGTTCCTAACACATTTTGAAGATACATGCTGTATATGTAGAAGTTATAATAGCAGACACTACAATTCTTATTCCAGAGTTGGAGTTATTGCCCAATTGTAGGTGACAAACCGCACCCTGCACCAGAAAATACAAACTAAATCCAAATCACTAATCAGTATCACATAACAAACCTTATCATTTTGGTGACAGCATCATCACCCTGTTGTCTCTGTCCTCATGCAGAGATTATGTGACGACTCCGACTGCGACAGCGCTGAGTTGGACCAGTCCGGCAGCGGAGAGCCCAGCCGGCCCCCGAGCGCTGGAGCCTGGACGTCCCCCTCCCAACCACCGGGCCCCCAGACCCCCCACAGCGGGGCCCCGTAACAGCCCAGAGAAGAACCACAACAACCCACCGAAACAAGCAGGACTGAACTGCCGCCACGTCGATTGCAAACACTCACTATCTAGAACAAGCCAAACTGAAAATGCTCTCTCATGAACACATCTTGGATACTTGGCAGCTTGCGACATCACATAAGTGTCATTTACTTTCACTAGAGACGTCCTTTTTGCCAGAATTGCGGCCAGGTCGTTGGAAACGGCGGAACTAATGTGCGTATCGTTCCCGCACGCGATTACAAATGAATTTCTGTGTAAAAAACAAACACATGGAAACAACATCTGCTGCTCAACTTTGGCAAAAAACACAAACAAAAAACAAAAAATATCATTCCATCCACGCACGCACAATTTACACTTTAGTCCTTTAAACACTAACGTCCTCTATGGAGTATCCTGCATACTTCGCCACCAATGCATCAAACTCTAATGAATAATAATGTAAATAGATTCTCATTCCGTACCACATGACAAATATGTAACTTTATTTTATTTGTAAGATATGATATAAGACTTAAAAGGTATGCAGCCCCTGTGAACAAATGCATGACTATAAATGTTCATAATTTATGGTTCAGATGTGTCCGTTTTATATTTTGTGAGAGTTTACACTTTTTTAAAAATCCTGAAAGTATTCTGTTATTTTTGATTTTGTTCATAATAAATGTCAACACAGAAAAAAAAAAAAAAGAGAAAAAATAAATTTAAAAAAACGTCGGAATGAAATCTACACCAATTGTCATGATGCATATGTAGATGGTCTTGGTAAGCTTCTACTTAGGAATAAATCACACATAGGTTTTTTATAGAGTTTATCTGATGTAAAAGGAAACCTCGGATTCATCGAAAGGGTCTTGGACTGTACCATTATGAACAAATGAACTTACTGGAGGCCTTTACCTGCAGAATGCATGTTGGAAGATGGTGCAATAGTGAGAGATGTTTTAAAAAAATATATATGGTGCTCTACTGATGAATCTATGTTTCCTATATGGGTGAGCTTCATAAAAACACCTTACCCTTTAAGAGTTTTGCAGAAGTAGCCAAAAGGCCCGACTAGAGCACTCCGTGGTGGTTTCATGTAGAGAATATAAGTATCCTTTGGGTTTGAATAGAAATGTTCTGTTTTTATACGGCATTGCACATTGTACTTGTAACATAGGAATTATATCGAGAAGCAAAAATACTATGAACAATAAATAATGTATTGGTTTAAAAACGATTAGTGTGATGTTTGTTTGAAATTCAGACGCCTTGTACTCGCTGTTGCTCTGTCACTCAACGACAGATGGATGAAAAATAAAAGGACTATTTTTAACAACCGGACGCCTTTGCAAAGTGCTGCAGTGTGGCTTTATTGGTGCAAAATCCAACAACTCAGGAGTCATTCAACAGAAGACTGATAAATATACTAAATATTTAAACAGTGAATATAATTCTTTAAATGTTTTTCATTCTGCAACAGCATCTGATTGAGGACTGATTATTTAAATATAATAAAAATAAATGATAAATGGGTTCTTTCAGCATTTCACATATTTTTATTTCTGCATTTCAATTCCTCCACAATTCAATTGCACCCAGATCTACAATATTTTTGAAAACGTGCACAAAAACGTGTTTCTTCATCCTGCAAAGAATAATACAAAATAAAATCTTACCCAAGCAAAAACAGATAGCAGGAAACTAGTGTTATTTCTATATTTCTCATTCTAGTAAATCTTAATTTAATTCAAGATAATATATTTATAAAGACAAATATGTCTCATGTTGAAGTTCTGCCCCGGTAGCATTCCCCAAACCCAGCAGTTAAAAAAAATATTGTCTCTATTTAAAACAAACATTTCAACGTTATTTTCATCATTATTGTGGTCTGTAATTGCTGAAAAAGAAAAAGTTTCCTCTCACTCTGGACCTGCGGCCGATGCGCGGTCTTTCAAATGATCCAGTAAAACATCAACACGCAAAAGTCCTGATCAATAAAAAACAAGGAATGACACAAAACAATGACCTTGCAGATTAGAGGTGAGACATTACGTCGCTTATTATTTCTCCACCAAACACAAGTTCCATTTACTTCATCGTGAGGCTTCTACCCGCATACAACTTCAACTGGAAAATCAAACACCTGCCATGGCCTCTCCTAATGCCATATACAAAAGCACCGCTCCAAGTCGGTGGCAAATATCAACGCACTCGTACTGTGTAGACGTTGTGTATTAAATAAAAATAAATATTTAGTTAAAGAAAAGAACAGTCTATCAATGTTATTGTGTGTTTTTCTTCATTTTTTACATTTTCTAAGAAAAATCTGACATAAAAAACATTATTTTCAGATTTTTCTAAAACTTTTACCTAATATAAAGTTCATACAGATATACAGCAAAATATGAGACACATTAGGAAGGAATTCTCTGGAAACTAAATGGAAAGGAATTTAAAAACAATAAATAAATTAAAATACCCATATTATGAGGAGGTGGGGGGTGTGTATACATGATTCCAAAGCAAATGAGAACAGTGAGTTTACTGAGTTTTTGCATTAATTGAGTGTGGGGCTTGAGTAAAAAGGAGAGGGGTGACTTCAGGTGCAGAAGGGGAGCTCCATGTCAGTTGGCCGCCAGTCCAGTGGCTTCTGAGGACAGCCTGAGGAACGGATACATGTTTAGACCAGATACACAACATACACAACATACAAAACTACTGCATTTTTGTTCACTTGTTTTTGGACCTCAAACATCCTCTTAAACCTCCACTATGGTACTTTTAAAAGAAAAAAAAATACAAATGCATGTTCAGCTCCCTTTTATTATCACCACTGATGAAACATGAAACTCAAAAAGTGCAGGTATTCAAGTACAAGCTTGTAGTTGTAGTTCAAGTTTTATAAAGAAACAAATAATTCATTGCAAAAATGGCCTGTAAATTGGCAATGGCAAAAATACCAGCTCAATTTAACGAATGAGGCCCAATGTGTGCTTTTGAAGACGGACCAATTTGAAAAAATATAAGAAATAATTAACAGGACTAAGCGCGTACCGGGCGTTGATGAGGTACTCTGCCAGGCTGATGCTGGCGTGGGAGCCCGTGATTGTGACCTGCCGGTCGGTGGAGCCCTCCACTGGGTTTGCAATTTTGATCTGAGCCCCCGACATCTGACGGATCTCATTGATCTTTGCACCTTGGCGTCCAATAATGCATCCAATAAGCTGGGAACAGAACCATAATAAGACAAAAAACCATTAAATCATTAAAAAAGATATTAGAGTATTGTATGAAGATTAAAATATAAAATAAATAATAACATGAGCTTCTAGAAGTTGATTTGTTGTACGTAAATTGAGCTAAAGGAGGTGACATACATCGTTTGGAATGGTTAGCTCATGAGAGCCTGTTTGTGCAGAGGCATCCATCCCAGCTGAAAAAACACAAAAACCGAGTCGATTAGAGGGATTAAAATCAACAGCATCACATTGTGGTTAGAGCAGTGTGCCTACCCTGGAAGCCCTGGTTGCCATGTGCAATGGGAAAGGGGCTCTGCTGCATGGCCAGCTGGTGAAGTTTGGTGAGCTGTTCAAACGAGCAACAAACAAACAGAAGGATTCGTGAGCACAAAGCCAGCTCAATACATTAGTGCATTATATACTGTCAATCCCTTTGAATTGGTGTGATTATGGAAGGAATAGTGAAATGACACATGCAGAAGGTAATTAGAATAAACATTAGTGGTGCTTATAGAATGAATGAAATTAAGACTTGAAGAGAAAGGGGTGAATTGAGAGGGCGACATGGCTTCCCAGGACGGATGAGCAGATATATTGGATCACTTACAGAGGGCCCTTCACTTACATCAGGCTGTGGAATGGCATGCTGCCCTTGCACAGCGTAAGCCTGCAAGGAGAGAAGAGCACTTAGGCACATGTGTCCGACCACTTCAATATCCATCAGACCTACCTGGCTACAATGGCCATTTCTAAAATGAAAGTACTGGTAAGGTCTTCAGAGGTCACATTGGAAGAATCTTTCCTTACCTGACCACCTGCAAAGATGACAGGAGAGCCTGAGGGTTTGGGTCTGTACGGGATAGTCACGCCTTTTGGCGGGGACTGAAATAGAAAGGACCGTGCATATAATTACAACAGCACTGTAAACAACAAGAAAGAAACACCTGATCATCTGACAGAATCAAAATCATCCTGAGTGATTCAGAAAGGTTGTGATTATCACTTGGGATTCAGTCATTTTCTTGTCAATGACATGCGGGGCGTTGAGAAATTGGGATAATGTATTTATTTATTTGTCAAGACAGAGCTCAAAGGGAGTAGGCACAAACAATGTTCTTACATGGGACAACCCCTTTTCCAATAGTCCAATAGTCAATTGGAGGGGTGTAGGGCGAGCTGTACGTTATTCATCCCTAAAACGAAGAGGTGAATAAAACTGATAATAAAGACAGGTTTGTGGCAGTACCTCAAGCATGACGACACAGATCTGTTTGACACACTCGATGATGGATTGGGGGGTCCCTGCAACAGTGATGGCACGTTCTGTGGAGTTGGGCAACATGTCCCCTGCTACTTGTACCTGAGCTCCGGCCGACTGCAAAAACAGCAGAAATGACATACTTCAATGGCGTTGCATGGTTTAATAGAAACATATGAATTGATGGCATTCTTAGTGAAGTACTGGTCCATGACAGAAAAAATAACAATAGACATACATTATTAACTAACTGCTTAACCCCACCCCTCTATAAAATTTTTTTTTTTTTTAGTAGGTCAGAGATGGGAAGATATTTTTACTGACAAAAAGCAAAACATTGACTTGTTCCCATTGAGATTCAACAATTGTTGACATCAGATAGTGCAGACATCAGCATAAAGTGGGAGCCTAAGCTTACTCAGTGTATAACTGTATGAATGCAGGATTAGTGGCCTCTGGGCGTTCGAGAGCAGTCAGCGGTGAGCACAAACCTCTCTGATCTCCTTGATCTTGCAGCCTCCTTTGCCAATGAGTGAACCACACTGACTGGCAGGCACGACGAGACGCATGGTGACAGGAGGCTTGCTGGTGGCCGTACTGTTTGACATAGAGTTGCTTATGTCCTGAAAGTACAATGAATATCAAGGTCACAAATAAGTATTTCCAAGTACCACCTTGTTAAAAATGGAACTTCAACTGTCAGTCTCTAAATATAGTCTGAAACACGGATACTAAACCTCAACAAAACAATGCCTATAACAGGTATAAACCAGATCTAATCAGGAAACATACAATGAACAGAAATGCAATAGTCAAAAATATGAAAACGTAAATGCATGGTTCAATTATATCCTTAAAAATCAAAGGATAGCATAGCACACTAGCTATAGTATAAATGATGCATCAATTTATATTGACAGGGTTATTTATAGCAGCAGATCTACAGCCTTTATCGGTGGTGGAAAACGCTAGATTTAATCATTTAAAAAGCTAGTCTGCTCTAAGAAAAAATAAAATAAAATCGAGAATCAAATTGAATTGTGACACCCCTAGTAATTTGAGTAAATAAAAAAGCACAGTAGCTTTTGGTAGTCATTTCAAATTTAAAAAAGATAGTGTAGTTTGATTCACATAAAACATTCAAACGTACTCTGTCCACACTACTGGCGTCACGTCATTTATATCGCAATCCTTTTTCAGTGAAAGTTGTTTCAGTGAATTGACCAATATTGCATTATGCAAAAACACAAAAAAAGAGAAGCTTGGTTTGTACCTCCTCTAGTTTCTCAATGATCATGGAAAAGGCTTTGAAGATGGAGGTGGTTGGCCCTGCGAGTGTTATGATCCTCTCGGGACAGTTGCCCTCTGAGATATTGATGCGAGCTCCACTCTGCAGAGAAAACAGGAAATACCACATCTTTATGTAACACACGACGAGGACAATTCCACTGATTTATGCAGCATTTGCCATGAAGACATGATACTGGTCCCTATTGACAAAAAAAATAAAAATAAAACATGTCCCTTTAACTAAAGAGATATTTGTCAAAGTTCAAACAAACATGCTGAACTTCAGACAAATTACTTGAAGAAGCAAAGAAATAACATTATTTGGAAGCTAACATAAATGTTCATGGTGACCTGCAACTGCATTTGACTTTGAAGTATTGCATCATGCAGGCTTACCTCCTCTCTCATCTTCTTCACGGATTCTCCTTTCTGTGAAGATACATTTTATATATTATATTAAAATCTGAAAAAATGCATTGTTGTATGAGAAATCAAAACATACTTTGCCAATAATGCTTCCAACTTCCTTCCCATGCATAAGAAGCCTGATAGTTAAGGTGACATTAAGTCCACCTTCAACCAGACTGGATTCCATAGCAGACGATGTACTGGTCGACAAAGTAGAGGAAGTCTTTGGTCACAGTTAGCTGCAAAAAAGGACAATATTTAAAAGAGTTTGATTTCAATGTCAGCAAACAAAAGAACAAACAAACTTACAAAGCTTGAAATATATATACTAAACAACTTTAGTTAGCAGTTTTACATTCATTTCACAATTTGAGCCATAATTGATTCTTAAACGATTCTTAAAGAGAATCATACATGGCTGGTCTGAATATAATTACTGAGATCACCAAAACGTTCATGACCGATTATTCTGAGCCAGAACAATCTTAAATTCAAACAACGTGGGTTCATTCAACTCACGTACATTTGAGTATATATTACATGCAATTCTAGTTGACTTTAGACTTTCTGTAATATAAATCCATGAACAGATTTGTCAAAAAAGACATAAAGCTGCGTTATTGCACGAGTCTCTGGCCCGAGTCCATTCATTCACCATCAGCACAATGAGCCAGTGTTTGGCGGAGCGGCGCAGGCCAAGCTCCGGATGCGACGCGACGCATTTAAGCTAGTTAAATAAGTGCCGAGTTACATTTAGAGACATGGCAGTATTGTACTAAGGCATACAGTTTTCATTCAGTAAGATTATTCACGGAGCTCCGGGCCTTTGAACCATACAGAGCCAAATCCTATTGTGGAAAGGGCATCATCGCACGCAAGTCACGGGAACCAGATTTGCGCATCACAACAAGCAGCAGTCTGGCTCAGAAACGCGCAGGGAAGGGCAGAAGCCAGGGCTGCAACAGCGGTGGGGGTAGTATTTCCCTCTGTGGGTATGGAAAAGTATTGCCACTTCATATTGGTGAAGGCAGTGATCTTCCATGAGGGCGCTAGCCTCGCAGGAAATAGCCAGTGCCGCGGCCTAGCTAGCAGCGAGCTAGCAGAGCAGCAGCCCTGGGCAGAATGAGTTTATCGTCCTTTAGCGGGAAAAAACACAACTAAATGCCCCTCTTCTTACCTGTAGCGAGCCGCAGAGTGTCTGGGGGGTGGGTAGGGTGTAAGGGTGGAAGGGGAGAGGTTCGGGAGGGAGTTTAGAGAGGACCTGGGGAAGAGGGAAGAGATTCCGCTGTCTGTGCGCACTCCACTCTCCTCCTGCTTCAGTCAGTCCGCCTGAGCACAAAGACTGCGACCCCCGCACCAGGGCGCCCCCTGCCGAGGGGAGCGCAGGACTGCAGCTAGATGGGGACCAGAGGACCAGTGGGCAGCATGTTCTCTGTGTGTGTGTGTGTGTGTGTGAATGGTTCTGGTTGGTGGTGGTCACAGGGGTCGATGGCACTTATGGTTGCCTTGCTTCTGTCAGTGTGCCCCAGGGCAGCTGTGGCTACAGTAGTAGTTAATCGCCACTGTGTTTGGAGTGAATGAATCATTATGATTATTATGATTATGATTATGATGATGATGATTATTATTATCATGTAATTCAGACAGGCACTATCTCAACCAAATAAACCATAAAAACATATAATTTATGTATATGTTTTGCAAATAAATGGGGAGGCAGCGTTTCAGATTCATGTAGCTAATATCTGGAAAAGTCTTCCTGAAAAGGTGAGACAGGTGTCTACTCTGACGCTTTTGAAATTGAAGACTGTTTTGTTTGCCTGTGCATATACAACTGAAGGATCTCTACTTTTTAATGCACTGTAGTTAATTCTTATTTTAACCCCTTGTGTGGGATTGTAACGTTTTAATGTTTTTAATAGTTGTAGGTTTATGATGTTACCTGTGCTTGTGATAAAACTGTGAAGCGCTTTGTGTCATCCTGTAGGAAAAGAACCCAACAAATAAAGAATGATTGATTGACAAAATGTAAATGCAGTGTGCAGCTCATTTTCAACAATATATTCAATAGTATCCTTGTTTGAATAATTCATGTGTTATAATTAAAACAAAACATTGAAACATTATTCAGATTATTCATTATTCAGCAACATAGCAATCGTTTCATTATGTAAAATATGATGGTCCGCTGCACCAGAACAATTTGAGTTATTTTTATAATACTTTAACCATGTAGTGTAACTGTAAATAGTTTGTATTCTAAAAAAGCAGCCATATTTTAATACCAACTATAGATGGCGCCATTGAACCACAGCGCGCATGTACAGTACAGTAAACCTGAGTACAGCAGCGGGAGTAGATATTATTACGGCAATATTGATGTTGATGCACCCTTCATTACTATAAGAATACAGTATTCTATCTAAGTAAAGGGGAATGTGATCATATTGAATGAATGATCCTCAAAGAAAAAAACTATTTTTACACCAGCATTTACAATGTACTGTTTATCTGTTCCATATCATATTGCAATGTTATTAATTCACGTCATATTGAGATTCTATTAAATGTGTATGTTTTAGTGAGTCGAACATAAGACGTGAGTGGTAATTGCAGTGCATTCCCTGATGTACGGCCACATATCAGAAACAGAGGTTTATGAGGAGAGAATTGAGAGTTTAACCTTTTGACGACCTTGAAATAATATGTTTATGTATATCATTGCAGTTGTGACTTGTGGCCATACCTGCATGTGAAAACCAGATATTGTTAAACCTCTGAAGAAAAGCAGGGCAAGGTCAATAATCTGATGGGAGACCTCCAGGAACACCAGGGGCCACAGTGGGGTGGCTGCAGCTGGAGAGTGACAAACTGTCATTATGTCCTTAGCAAGACATTTTGCCCACAGTGCCTAAAATGATAAGATAAACTCTATTGATCTCACAATAGAGATATTGACACGTCACATTTGACATAGCTAGTATCATTCAGATTGTGCAAAAACATGTAAAAATTTTAAGGGTTAGAAATGTAGTCTGTGCAGGATATATTATGACAATAAAATGGTGGCAAAAGCAGTCTGGTGTCTAGTGAGTGTATGAATGGCTGGTGGGGGGTCAGAGGGGCCGATGGCACATACGGTTTGCCTCGCTTCTGTCAGTGTGCCCCATGCAGGGCAGTTGTGGCTACATTAGTAGTTTATCACCAGTGTGTATGGAGGGAAGGAATAAAAACATGTAAAGCATCTTTGAGTGTCCAAAAAGCACTATATAAAACCAGTGCATTGTTGTCATTATTAAATAGTATAATTATTAACACGCAAACCTTTTATGCCACACCATCGTATTCTTCTGAAGGTAGCCTGTAATAGTGCAGGAATAAAAATACAGTAATGTGCTGGTGGGGAAAGTAATGAATTAAGCGATGGTAAGAAATTGTCACACCAAACCAGGAAGAGTTACTTTTATTTTTTTACTACAGACTCAGTATTGTGTCATTTATGGACTCCTCATACGGATGCCCAAAGTAACATCCCATTATTTGTCTTTGTTTAATTGTTTCTCCTCATGGGCTAGTCAGTACTTGGATGGTTGATGAGGAATACTAGATGCCACCTTTTCCACAGTGTTGGAGGTCAGAGGGTCCGATGGCACAGTTCGGCAACCTCACTTCCATCCGTCTGCCTCTGGGATTCTCGGAGGCAATGACTAACAACAGCGTATGCATGTAGTGTATGAGTAATGCCACTCAAAGAGTGTCCAATATTAACTAGTTAAATTTCAATTCAATCTATTCTTGTATAGCCCTAAAAAAGAACAGTTATCTCAGAGTACTTAACAAAACCGTTGAATTCGCCAACACAGATCAAACAGTTCAAACACAATAAATGCTATTAATAAAAACACACACACACACACAGAGCCATTGGTTCATAAGGGGCAGATGACCAATGTCCATGAATGTTGATAAATGTCCATAAAGCTTTATTCTTTACCGCAATCCTCATTTGTTTATGTTGCATGCACAAATAAGATATTAAAATAGAGCAGTGTTGCCCTAAAACTGTGTTCATGGTCTGTTTGACAAACTCTTCTGCTTGGACAGAGGACTCATGGTCATTAATCTTGTGCACATTTGAGCTCACACAACACAATTAGTCAATGTCAAAGCTGCTTTTGTCTGTTGCTCTGTTAGACACTGTTATGGCAGAGAGTAGGCACATGGCACAGAGCAGTTTCCATACATTTGTATTATCACTATATATTATAGGTATATAGGAGTATTTTCTACTTCCGTATGGATCATCAAGACTATTGGTCCTCCTAATTGACAGTCATTCTTGTGATACATGCTCGTCAAATGAGACCAGAGAGTTTTTTTTTTCAAAAAGTGGAGAGAGCAGTTCTCTCCTAAAATTTGGGAAAATCCTCCTCTATACCTTTAATGTCTTGAGCACATCCACTATGTTTATCCTGTCGGATCATCAACACCATGCATTTATTGCCCCTCGTTTAGATACAGTCGTACTTGAAAGTTTACACACCCAAGCAGAGATGTCCATAGTTTATTATGAATGATCATAACATATTCTCCAGGTTGATTACGAGATCTTCAAAGATAAGTTGTGCGAGTTTAACCGGGTGCTACGTAGTACGAGAGAAAGGTATTTTTCTGAAATGATTGAAGGCTGCAGCAACAATCTGCGTGTTCTGTTAACAAACCCCCCTGTTCAGATGCCAGTAGAGCTTACTTCCAAACGTAAATGCAATGAGTTTGCACATTTTTTCAATGACAAGGTTCAAGGCATCAAAAACGCCATTGTCTCCAATCCACAGATAACCATCCAACAGCCAGAAAGGCTCTCTGAGCTAACTCACTTTGCACCTGTAGATGGTAAAACTGTCCAAGAGATAATCTCCAGTCTGAGCTCCTCCACATGCAGCTTGGATGTACTACCCACTAGATTTCTAAAGTCTGTTCTGAGCAGTCTGTTACCTTCACTCACACAGATAGTAAACATGTCCCTTCATTCTGGAATATTCCCAAAGGCCCTGAAAACTGCAGTCATCAGGCCCCTGCTAAAAAAGAGCAGTCTGGATGCTACGGTACTTAACAACTATCGTCCCATCTCAAATCTGCCATTTATGGGGAAAGTCCTTGAAAAAGTTGTCTACCTACAGCTTACTAGATTTCTTATAATCAACAACTCTTACAGAGATTAGAAGACTGGGTTGGAGTCGCTGGCACCGCCCTAAGTTGGTTTAGGTCTTACCTTGAGGACAGGAAGTACTTTGTGGAGATTGGAAACTGTGTCTCAGATCATATGGCCCTGACCTGTGGAGTCCCACAGGGGTCGATCCTGGGACCTCTTCTGTTCAATCTCTACATGCTGCCGTTAGGTCAGTTAATACGCAGAAACAAAGTTTCCTATCATAACTATGCAGACGACACTCAGATCTATGTCTCACTGACTGCAGGAGAACATGGACCAGTGGACTCACTCCTTCACTGTATCCAACAGATCAGTGAGTGGATGCAAAACAACTTCCTTCAGCTAAACGCAGACAAAACTGAAATGATTGTCTTTGGTCCCCAGAAACAAAGAGAGAGCGTCATCTGTCACCTACAGTCTCTCTCCCTAAAAACTTCAAACAAGGTCAGAAATCTAGGGGTAATACTGGACTCAGACTTAAATTTCAATAGCCACATCAAATCAGTAACATCAGCAGCTTTTTACCATCTAAAAAACATTGCCAGGATCAAAATCATAGTGTCTAAAGCAGACTTGGAGATTCTTATCCATGCATTTGTCTCCAGTAGGTTAGACCAGTGTTTTTCAACCTTTTTTGAGCCAAGGCACACTTTTTTCACTGAAAAAATCTTGCGGCACACCTCCAGGAGAAAATGTAAAAATGTATACAGTACTAATGTAAAAAAATATATACTGTACATACTCTGTGTGATATATAAAGTATATCTTATCTTATAATGTATACAGTATACTCTGTAGCCTATATTCACAATATACAGTTATTCTCATCAAAATGCTTAAGTCCAGGCCTTGAAATTAAGCTTTATTTAATATTTCTCGATACAATTAACAAGAGTTTGGGAATAAAGTGGCACTAACTGTGTGGAAAAAAACTAAGAAAATCCACTCTCTGCCCAAATAGTCAAATAATAACTCACACAAAGAACATGCATTGTTAGTGCATGGGAAACATTTTGGTATCCGAGCTTTAAATTCAGGAGTTTTGGATGAGGGACACGGGAGGTCCTGAACGCGAGTCCATGGTTCTGTCCGGTCCGCATGTCTGTGGTTCTGTCCACTCGACTATGGTCTGCGCTCGGTACCCAGTTCAGAAGTGCGTTCGCGAGAGCTGTTGTACAAAAATCGTACATTTCATAGTTAAACCACTACAACGCGGCCACAGCTGCCCCGGGGCAGAGCGGAGGATGTTAATCCTGTTCAGAAACGGCATAATTCATTTTCAAAAACGTCTCTATCACTTTCACTTCTCACTCGCCACAAAGCTCTTGTCTCGCTCCCTCACACATTTGTTGGTCGCATCCAATTTTACCTTTCTCGCCACAATGCTGACCTGTTACAGCTAGTGGTCGCATCCAATTTTTCAGTTTCAAAGTACTTAGCTATCTGCTGCCATCTACTGATTTGAAAAAGTATTACATGGTTACTCACAGTTCAAAACAAGTCACCGCTCGTCAACAGCGAATGCAGCTATTTTTAGACAAAGTAGACGAATTTCTCACGGCACACCAGACAATATCATACGGCACACTAGTGTGCCGCGGCACAGTGGTTGAAAAACACTGGGTTAGACTACTGCAATGGCCTGCTCACAGGTCTGTCCAAACAGGCTGTAAAACAGCTGCAGTACATTCAAAATGCAGCAGCTCGAGTCCTGACTAGAACCAGGAAGTACGACCATATTAGTCCAGTTCTCAGGTCTCTGCACTGCCTTCCTGTGGCTCAGAGAATAGACTTTAAAACAGCTCTGCTTGTGTACAAGTCTCTCCATGGCCTCGCACCAAAATATATTAGTGACATGTTAGTCCCATATGAACCAGCCCGGACTCTGAGGAGCACAGGGACTGGACTCCTGTTGGGACTCTGAGGAGCACAGGGACTGGACTCCTGCTGGGACTCTGAGGAGCACAGGGACTGGACTCCTGCTGGGACTCTGAGGAGCACAGGGACTGGACTCCTGTTAGTGCCCAGAGTCAGAACTAAACATGGGGAGGCTGCTTTTCAGATTCATGCTGCTAAAATCTGGAACAGTCTTCCTGAAGATGTGAGACAGGCCTCCTCTCTGACAATGTTTAAAACCAGGTTAAAGACAGTTCTGTTTAACTGTGCATACAACTGAGGGATTTTATATTTTTATCTTTCTTTTTAATGTTCTGTGATAATTTATGATTTTAATGCTTTCTTGTTTTGTTCAGCACTTTGAATTGCCTTGTGTATGAATTGTGCTATATAAATAAACTTGCCTTGCCTTGCCTTGCCTTGCCTTTACTTTCAGTGCAGCAAACTCAGTCCAGAAGTTCAGTGAGGATCTTTGAATGATCCAATGTTGTCCTAAATGACTGATGATGATAAATAGAATGCACCTGTGTGTAATCAAGTCTCCGTATAAATGCACCTGCTCTTTGATAGTCTCAGGGTTCTGTTTAAAGCGCAGAGAGAACCATGAAGACAAAGGAACACACCAGGCAGGTCCGAGATACTGTTGTGGAGAAGTTTAAAGCCGGATTTGGATACAAAAAGATTTCCCAAGCTTTAAACATCTCAAGGAGCACTGTGCAAGCAGTATCAGACCACTGCACATCTACCAAGACCCGGCCGTCCCTCCAAACTTTCATCTCAAACAAGGAGAAGACTGATCAGAGATGCAGCCAAGAGGCCCATGATCACTCTGGATGAACTGCAGATAACTACAGCTGAGGTGGGAGAGTCTGTCCATAAATGTGGCCTTTATGGAAGAGTGGCAAGAAGAAAGCCATTTCTCAAAGATATCCATAAAAAGTCTCGTTTAAAGTTTGCCACAAGCCACCTGGGAGACACACCAAACATGTGGAAGAAGGTGCTCTGGTCAGATGAAACCAAAATCGAACTTTTTGGCCACAATGCAAAACGATATGTTTGGCGTAAAAGCAACACAGCTCATCACCCTGAACACACCATCCCCACTGTCAATCATGGGGGTGGCAGCATCATGGTTTGGGCCTGTTTTTCTTCAGCAGGGACAGGGAAGATGGCTAAAATTGATGGGAAGATGGATGGAGCCAAATACAGGACCATTCTGGAAGAAAACCTGTTGGAGTTTGCAAAAGACCTGAGACTGGGCGGCACGGTGGCTGAGTGGATAGCACTCTCGCCTCTCAGCAAGAAGGTCCTGGGTTCGAATCCCGGTCGGATCAGGGCCTTTCTGAGTGGAGTTTGCATGTTCTCCCCGTGTCTGCGTAGGTTTCCTCCGGGTACTCCGGTTTCCCCTACCACTAAAAATATGTCCAATAGTTCTGGCATGTGCCTCCTGTACTGGTGACCCTGCTCCCATCTCTGTGTGGAGTGAGAGACAAATGCCCAAAAATTAACAATTGTAAACCGCTTTGAGACGCAGATCTGCAGTGAAAAGGCGGTATATAAATAAAAACTTACTTACTTACTTACTTACTTACTGGGACGGAGATTTATCTTCCAACAGGACAATGATCCAAAACATAAAGCCAAATCTACAATGGAATGGTTCACAAATAGACGTATCCAGGTGTTAGAATGGCCAAGTCAAAGTCCAGACCTGAATCCAATCGAGAATCTGTGGAAAGAGCTGAAGACTGCTGTTCATAAACGCTCTCCATCCAACCTCACTGAGCTCGAGCTGTTTTGCAAGGAAGAATAGGCAAGAATTCCAGTCTCTCGATGTGCAAAACTGATAGAGACATACCCCAAGCGACTTGCAGCTGTAATTGCAGCAAAAGGTGGCGCTACAAAGTATTAGCGCAAGGGGGCCGAATAATATTGCACGCCCCACTTTTCAGTTTATTTGTTTAAAAAGTTTGAATTATCCAATACATTTTGTTCCACTTAGAGATTGTGTCCCAATTGTTGTTGATTCTTGACAAAAAAAATATTTTTATATCTTTGTTTGAAGCCTGAAATGTGGCGAAATGTTGAAAGGTTCAAGGGGGCCGAATACTTTCGCAAGGCACTGTAATTCATCTGAACATGTCAAAATGAACACCCGAAATATTATAAACACATATTGTAGTTATATATTCTGGATAGCAGCATATTAAATTCTAGTACTACTTTAATTCGCTATTCGGTTCTCCTTAAGAGACTATGATAGGGGACAGTGTTGACAGGCCGTCAACACCCCAGGCCAGTGACAGGGGAGGCAGTTCTGAGCAGGCAAGGCCTTTGGCACACACAGCAAACCACACACAAAAATACCACAAAGTAGCCCTGTCTGCACGTTTTTTTAATAAACACAGTAGCTATAGGTTTGGCAATCGGAACCCAAGGTAAAATTGCTATATCACTGGCATGTTAAAAAAAAAATTTATGGTGAGTTCAAAATGAAGTCGAATCGATAGTACAATTGTAATTATTACTACTTGTCTTTATTAGGGATGTACCATATCCAGATTTTTGGGGTTCGGTCAAATACCGAATCCACTGGATAAGATTCTGCCGAATCCGAAACCGAATATCGAATCCTACTCCATCCTCAGTCCATTAATGTTTCATACGCAAATGTTTTAACAGCGGTGATGTTGTGAACTGTTTAGGGTCCTTACCACCATGAGACAAATCGGCATTGCAAATTGAACATGTAGCTCGACTAGAATCCCCTTCTTTGGACTGAAACTACTGCCAAACAACACTTTTTCTGCTCACGAGTTCCATTTTCACCTCCTCACTCACACAGCCTGAGCTACTGTATTCAAGAAAAAATACTTTTAGTAGCCGCACAGCTAGCGCCCAGATGCGCTCGTAGGCACTGTCTAACACACAGACAGTTTAATTCTTGATTAGATTCACCGTCCTTTACTTGTTTAATCATCATACAAACCGTCTATGTTGAACGCATCTGGGCGCTAGCTGCCGGCTACTAGATGTATTTTTTTTGTCTGAGCTTTTTTCCTGCCATTTTTTGTAATAAAACTTGTTACATACGAGCATACATCAATAATATAATCTGTGTATAACAACACAAACTGTTTACTTGTTTATTTACACTATTTGACATCCGCAAACTGAACTTCCGGACGAATCCGGTTTCCGGGATGAATCCAGCAGCCACACATGGATCTATTAGCAGCCACACATGGATCTATCAGCAGCCACACATGGATCTATCAGCAGCCACACATGGATCTATCAGCAGCCACACATGGATCTATCAGCAGCCACAGAGTGCATAGTGTAAGCGCAGGGTTCGGTTCGGTGGGGAAAAATAACTCCCACCCCCATAAAAAGAACCCGTACCCTGTCAAAAAAGCCAATATTTGGCCAAATCTGAAACCGAATCCTGGATTCGGTACATCTCTAGTGTTTATATCAATTTCAAATATTACCAATATTTTGAACTTTCAGAATGTTCAGAATGATTCTATTTCATATGTTGCTTCGCCCTTTAGGCTTCGCTAATGCATATCTCTTCGGAAGCATCGCTTCCCGCCCTGAGAAGATCAAACGATCCACCCTCCAATCACCTTCACGTCCTGGCGTAGGTCTGTCCCCTATAAAAAGGGTCATGCACCACAGCTCTTCTCCTTTTCTCTCTCAGCTTGCCTAAGAGAAGCTTCGATTCATTGGATTAAGTATGTCATCAAGCAAGTTCGCCGCGCCTGAAGATCTGTCACCCTCCGGTGTCAGGCTGCGGGTCTGCGACTCGTGCCCAGCGGCACTCTCCCAGGCTGACCGCCACGAGTCCTGCGCCTTCTGCCTGGGCTGGCGTCATGCCGCGGAGGAAAGCCCCAGCTGTGTGGCTTGCCTCGCGCTCCCCAGGGAGGAGCGCGACAGGCGCAGCGGGCTACTCAACGCCGCCTGTAGTGATGCCCAGGGTGGCCTCGCTCATGGTGTGCCACCCTCCGCCCACACTGCTGCTTCGCCTGGATCAGCGGAGATGTCAGGCTCTGGATCTGGACCTGGGTCCGACTACGATGAGGGGGAGTTGGTGGAGCCCTGTGAGGAGGATGCCCAGTCCTCCTACTCCCAGGAGGTGGGGCAACGCGAGCGCTATCCCCTGGATCGTTTCTCGCATTTGACCGCATCGGCTGTGGTCAGGATGCGTATGGCGATGCCGGTCCAGCCCGCCTCGCCTCCGGTGGACTATTTACAGTCCCTCGCTCCCTCCCCCCGGCGACGCAGACGCGAGGTGGTCGCTCCCAGGATGGAACCGCTGCTGCATTATGCCAGCCGTGAGTGGGATAGGCCCATGGCAGCCAAATCCCCGGCCTTGGCGTACGGAGTGTATGCAGGAGTGGACGCATGGCCTAGGCCGTCAGGCGTTCCTCCCATAGAGGACGGAGTGCGCCTGTCTCTGCTTCCAGCTTCATCTCCGTGGTCTGGACTGGCAGCTCCCTCCGAGCGGGACAAGCTGACCATCTCCATGCTCGACAGATGTTATGCCAATGCAACACAGGTCGTTGCTTTGGCAAATAACATGACTCTCCTCGCTGCTTCCCTCGACACTCTCATCCGGGGTCGGGAGGAGCTCTCCCGGACGGAGATCGAGGAGGCTGAGGATACTATGGCCACCTTCCTCCGCATGGCACAGGGCTTAGCGGTGGACGGTGGTAGGTCCATGTGTGCGGCCCAGGTCGCCTGCCGCCATCTCTGGTTGGGCCTGTCACCTCTCAGGGATGCTGATAAGCGGCGCCTTCTGGATCTGCCGCTCTCCTCCTCTTCCTTGTTTGGACCGGACATCCAGACCCTCGTGGAGCGGATGGAAACAGCGTCCAAGACCTCCGCTCAGCTGGCACAGCATCTCCGTCCTCCGCGGGCTCCTCGTCCCACGGCACGGCGTCCGGGTTATGCGGAGCGAAGAACCCGTGACCGCCCGGCCCCCCCGCATCGTTCAGAGCCTGGAGGCTCTCTGGGTCCTGTGCGCGGGAGACAGCGAGCTCGTGACCAACGGAGGAGCGGCAGCCACCCCGGCTCTCCAGCTACAGGGCGTCTGGAGCCTCTCTCAACGCGCTGCGAGGTGGCACGTTGGAGGCAGGCTCCAGGTTTGCTGTGCACTCCCCGTGGTTTCGCCTCCCGTGGGCAGGGAGTGCGTGACCGTGCGCTCCCCTCCTACGCTCCTTGTGCGCCAGCAGCACCAGCTCACAGCGCTCCGTGTGAGAGGCACAGGGCCGCAGCTATCCAGAAGAACAAGGGGGACTGCTCGGCCCCCCCTCAGTCTCCAGTGTTGGGGGGCGGGGGCCCGGCTCCGCAGAAGCAAAGCACGCCTGCCCTCTTGCGGCCACCCGGAAAAAGGTCCAGGGCCGCAGCTAGTGCTCAACCCTCCTCCCAGGGGCCCCCCACTATCCAGAGCATTGAGGGGGACTGCTCGGCCCCCCCTCAGTCCACAGTGCTGGGGAAAGGGGGCTCGGCTCCACGTAAGCGCAGCTCGCTTGCCCTTACGCTGCCACCCGGTAAAGGACCCAGGGCCGCAGCCAGGGCTCGGCCCTCTTCTCAGGGGCCCCCCACGCTCCAGAGCGATAAGTGGGTCTGCCCGGCCCCCCCTCAGTCCGCAGTGTTGGGGTGCGGGGGCTCTGCTCCACGAAAGCGCAGCGCGCCTGCCCTCACTCTGCCGCCCGGGAAAAGGCCCAGGGCCGGAGCTAGGGCTCAGCCCTTTTCCCAGGGGCCCCCCACTATCCGAAGCCTCCCCAGGAGGGACGTCTATGGGCGGGCCGGGCCTTACTCCCTCCTCCCATCCCGCCGTGCTTCCCTTGACTCATTTTGTCACCGTATGGGAACAGGCAGGGCTCCTGGGAACACCGTGGATACGCAGAGTGCTGCATCGGGGCTATGCTCTCCAGTTCTCCCGGCGGCCCCCTCCTTTCTGCGGCATTCTCCAGACAAGGCTATGCAGCCCGGAGGACGCCGTGGCGCTTCACAGGGAGGTCGACGCGCTTCTGCAGCGCGGTGCGGTAGCGGAGGTAGACCCGCTCAAGGCAGGGACAGGGTTTTACTCTCCATACTTCATTGTTCCCAAAAAGAGCGGGGGGGTGCGGGCCATTCTGGACCTGCGCGTTCTCAACGGCTGCATAGCCAAGCGACCGTTTCGCATGCTCACAGTCAAACAGCTGCTGCTGAGCATCAGGCCCGGGGACTGGATGTCCTCCGTGGACCTCAGAGACGCGTATTTCCACATACCCATTGCTCTGGGGCACAGGAAGTTCCTCCGGTTTTCTGTGGGGGGGGGGGCTTCGAGTATTGCCGTCTCCCGTTCGGCTACTCCCTAGCCCCCCGCACCTTCTCCAAGTGTGTGGAGGCGGCGCTAGAACCCCTTCGGCGTCAGGGCCTCAGGATACTGACGTATATCGACGACTGGCTGATCCTGGCCTCCTCTCGGGAGGAGGCGCAGGATCACACGTCCAGAGTGATGAACCACGTTGCCCGCCTAAGGTTTGTGATCAATATGGACAAAAGCTCCCTGTGCCCGGCCCAGGAGATTTTGTATCTGGGGCTGGTCTTGAATTCCAGGAGCATGACGGCTTCACTCTCGCCGGAGAGACAAGCGGCGGTTCAAAACCTGGGCCGGGTCGTTCTGGGCGAACCTCGGGTCCAACCGCGGCAGATCCGGTCACTCTTGGGCATGATGGCAGCGGCCCATCCAGTGGTGAGACTGGGGTTGCTGCACATGCGATATCTCCAGAGGTGGTTCTCACACCTCAGGGGTTTATCACGGAGGGAGCGACTGTCGGAGAGGGCTCGGAACGACGTCGCCTTCTGGCTGTCCCCAGGTCGACTCCAGGAGGGAGTTCGAATGGGTCTGGTGGACCACCACATCGAGGTCTTCACGGACGCCTCACTGAGCGGTTGGGGAGGCGTGCTCGGCCACCACTCGGCAGGAGGCGTTTGGTCCTCCCCCTTGGGGCACATCAAGCTCCTGGAGTTGGAGGCGGTGCGGTTAGTGCTGGCCCATTTTGTGACCAGACTGGAGGGCCAACATGTGATTATTTGGACGGACAACACCACTGTGGCAGCTTACCTGAACAGGCAGGGGGGGACCAGGTCCCCCGCCCTTCACAGGCTGGCAGTGGAGGTTCTTCTGTGGGCGGACGTTCACCTAGCCTCTCTGAGGGCCCGTCACATCCCAGGCGAGCGCAACGTGGCCGCCGACAGGATGTCCAGGGGCGGGGCCTTGCGGGACGAGTGGGGTCTCGCCCCAGCGGTCGTGGCGGAGGTCTGGCTCCGGTTCGGAACACCGGTGGCCGACCTTTTCGCAAATGCAGAGAACGCACAGTGCCCACTCTGGTTCTCGCTCAGGTCCAGCGACGAGCCCCCTCTCTGGGTGGACGCCATGGCGCACAGGTCGTGGCCCAACGGTCTCCTCTACGCCTTCCCGCCTTTCCGGCTCTTGGCAGCCCTGCTTTACAGGGTAAAGAGGGAGGGGGTCTCCATCCTGGTGGTGGCGCCGGACAGCCCGGGAGCCAGGTGGTATCCGGACCTGGTGAGCATGGCGCTCGGTCCGCCTTGGCCCATTCCGGACCGTCCCGATGCTCTGAGACAGGCAGGGGGAGCCCTTTACTCACGCCCTGTCCTGGGACACAGGCTCATGGTTTGGAGGCTGAAAGGGGGAAACTGTTGAGCCTTGGTCTCCCTCCCTCAGTGGTCGCTACTATTCAGGGTGGGAGGGCTACATCCACCACCAAAGCGTATGAGGTTCGCTGGAAACTCTTCGCCTCTTGGTGCGTGGACAGAGGCCTGGACCCCACCTCGTGTTCCATCCAGGAGGTCTTGGCTTTTCTCCAGTTTTTGCTGGAGAAGGGAAGGGCAGCCGCCACTCTGGGTGTGTTCGCGGCGGCCATTACCACAGGGCACGTGGGGTTTGGTAGCCACTCTGCGCGTAGCCACCCCTTGGTGAAGCGCTTTCTCCGAGGGGCCCGCAGGATCAGGCCTCCCCTCCGGTGGTCGGCTCCGTCTTGGGACCTTCAGGTGGTCTTAGCTGGTCTGTCGGGGCCTCCATTTGAACCCCTGGACAATGCGACCATTGCCTGTTTGTCCTACAAAACGGCATTGTTGTTGGCGTTGGCTTCGGCCAAGAGGTCTGGGGATCTGTGCGCCCTTTCCATGCAGCCGTCTTGTTTGTCCCTCCCCGATCGGGAGGGCATGATGGAGTTGTGGCCTAACCCGGCATTCCAGCCCAAGGTCGTCACGTCATCTTTCAGATCTAGGGTGATCAGGGTGAGACCGTTTTTCCCTCCTCCGCATGCTTCGGAGGAGGAAGAGCGGCGTCATAGTCTCTGCCCGATCAGGGCTGTGAGATGCTATTTGGACCGCACGTCTGACCTCAGACGGTCGAATCAGTTGTTTGTCGGGTTTGGCACCAGGAGTCAGGGTGCTGCTTTGTCTCCACAGCGCTTGGCCCACTGGCTTTGCCTTGCTATTCGTTTGGCGTATGAAGCTCAGGGCTTGCCGCCTCCGGCCCAGTTGAGGGCTCACTCCACTCGCGGGGTTGCCGCTTCGGTGGCTTTGTTCCGTGGCCCTTCGGTGGAGGAGATCTGCAGAGCGGCGTCTTGGTCCTCCTCCTCGACCTTTGTGCAGTTTTACCTACTAGATGTGGCCTCTGACTCTGTGGCTCATTCGGTTTTGAGTGCAGGGCGGCCCTAGTTCCTCCTTCGTCTAGGGTTATGTGGAGAGGTGTTGGCGCTCTTGGGAGAGGCGGCCTGGACACCTCTGCAGTAGGGGTAGGCGCTCTTGGGAGAGGCGGCCTAGACCCTTCTGCAGTCTGCTCTACATTCCTGGGGTTCAGGTGCTCTTGGGAGAGGCTGCCTGCCCAGGTTTGTTCTGAATTCTTTCCTGCTTTGCAGGTTGGGGAATGCGCGGGCACTCTTGGGAGAGGTAGCCCTGCATCCCTTTCTCTATGGCTCGTAGGACCTCCGTTTCTACCGCTTGATTGCGGTATGAGCAGGAGGGTCACGAGTTTGCTCCAATCACCAGAGTTCATGCCTGCTGGGAGTACATTGGTCTGGGCTTCGCTATGTTATGCATTAGCGAAGCCTAAAGGGCGAAGCAACATATGAAATAGAAACCCCAGTTACCTAATGTAACTAAGGTTCTATGAATATGTTGGGAAGCCCTTTAGCTTCGAGCCCAGCAGGCCTGCCCTCTCTTATTCGGCTGAGTTCAAAAGGAGAAGAGCTGTGGTGCATGACCCTTTTTATAGGGGACAGACCTACGCCAGGACGTGAAGGTGATTGGAGGGTGGATCGTTTGATCTTCTCAGGGCGGGAAGCGATGCTTCCGAAGAGATATGCATTAGCGAAGCCTAAAGGGCTTCGCAACATATTCATAGAACCTTAGCTACATTAGGTAACTGGGGTTTATGTTTCATAATCTTTTACAAATTATGTTTCATTATTCATTATTACGATGAAAAGCAACATAGTAAACAAAGCGTTCATCTTGAATTGTCTACGATCAACAAACACTGAACACGTTAACCGGGTTCCGGTTACCGGACCTATAGTATTTTTACTTTGGGTTCCGGTTGCCAGACCTATAGCCACTTCGTACATAGTGATGCCATGAAAAAGCCTCCTCTACAGGACTTTCCCTCCAGATGGTGCCGGCTGCTGAGCCTCGCACCATGGCGAGTACGGTGTGCGTATCTGTGTTGTTGTGTCTGGTACATTGTTTACTGTTTAAACACACAGTCCGAACATGGATCCAAACATATCTTTCAGCTGTAGACTGGAGCGCAGAGACACAGCACCCTGTTCTACAGCATGAGGAACAGGACGCACCCCTGCAGGAATGTGGCTTCCGAAGGAACCATTTTGGACAGTGGTACTCTCTGGTGTTGGAAAAATATCGGACTTAGCTCCAAGGTCTTTGCTTCTTTT